TCAGCAACAGGATCTCATCATATTAAAAAGCTCTTGCAAAGCAAAAGAAACCACCAACAGAGTGCAGAGACAACCCACAGAATGGGAAAAAAAACCTTTACCTGCTATTCCTCAGAGAAAGGACTAATATTTAGAATATATTTTGGGGGGGACCGGGGATTTAGCTCAGTGGTTTCGCCGCCTGCTGCACAAGCGCAAGGACCTGACTTCAATCCCCAGTACCAAAAAAAAGAAAAATAGAATATATTTTTTTAAAACTCCAAAAAATCAGATCTACAAAATTTAAAGCCCCTATCCAAAAATGGGCATCTGAAATGAATGGACACTTCTCAAAAGAGAAAGTACAAACAACAAATAAATATATGAAAAAACGTTCAACATCACTGTTCATTTGAGAAATGCAAACTAAAACAACACTGAGATTCCACCTCACTCCTGAAAGAAGGGCCATCATCAAGAAATCAACCAATAACAAATGCTGGTGAGGCTGTGAGGGAAAAGGAACCCTTCTCCACTGTTGTTGAGAGTGTAAATTAATGCAACCACTATAGAAATCAGTATGGAGATTCCTCAAAAAACTAAAACTAGAGATTCCATTTCAACAAGCTATTCCCTTTCTTGATATCTTCGCAAAAGAGTTAAAAGGATTATACCACAGTAATATATGCCCATGTTTATAGCAACATTATTTGTAATAGCTAAATCTTGGAAACAACCCATATGTCCATCAACAGATGAATGGATAAAGAAGATGTGGTTTTTATATACAATGGAGTGCTACTCTGCCATAAAGAAGGATAAACTTGGGCCAGGGATTTAGCTCAGTGGTCTCACTGCCTGCTGCGCACGCGCAAGGACCCGAGTTCGATCCCCCTGGTACCCAAAAAAAAACCCAAAAAGAAGGATAAACTTGAGACATTTCTAGGTAAATAGATATACCTTGAGACCATACTTTTAAGTGAAATAACTCAGACACATATGTTTAAATATTGCATTGTTTCTCGTGTGAGAAACTGAAAGTGTAAATGAGGACCAAAATGGATGATAGATATTGGGAAGTAGGAAGAAAATGTTCAAATGGAAAGGGAAACAAGAGAGCAGGGAGGGGGGAAGGGAAAGAAGGGGAAAAAGGACCCAAGTTCAATCGCCGGTACCAAAAAATAAAATGAAAATAAATAAAAATATCAATGTCATTACTCACAACACTAGAAAAAAAAAACACAAAATTCACATGGAAGCACAAAAGACCCCAGACAGCCAAAGCAATCCCGAACAAAAAGAGCAATGCTGAAGGTATCACAGTACCCAATTTCAAAGTATATGATAAAGTCATTGCAACAAAAACAGCAAGATGCAGACATAGAAATAGACACATAGAGCAACAAAACAGAATAGAATATCCAGAAATAAACCCACACTACAGCTACAGCCATTTGATTCTCAATAAAGGTACCAAAAACATACAGTGGAGAAAAGTCAAGACTCCTTAACAAACAGTGCTGGGAAAACTGGGTAAACACGTCTAGAAAGTTAACACTAGATCCCTATCTCTCACCCTATACAAAAGTTAACTCAAAATGAACCCCTTTGTGGAAGGCTAGAAACCTTGAAACTACTAGAGAAAAACAAACATTTCAAGATATAGGCTTAGGCAACAACTTCCTGAATAGGACTACAATAGCTCAGGAAATAACAGCAACCATGGACAAAGGGAATGGTATCAAATTTAAAAGATCTCCACAGCAAAGGAAACAACGGAGTGAAGAAGAGACAGCCTATAGGATGGGAGAAAATCTTTGTCATCTATTTTTGACAGAGGATTAATACCCAGAGTATATGAATAACTCAAAAAACTTAATACCAAAAGTAATCCAATCAATCAATGAGCAAATGAACCCAATAGACCCTTCTGAAAAGATGTGCATGTAGCCAATAAGTACATAAAAAATACGTTCAACACCTTTAGCCATCAGAGAAATGTGAATGAAATGTACATGAAAATTCCATCTCACCTTAGTCAGAATGGATATCATCAAGAATACAAAAACCAATAAACATTGATGAGACTGGGAGAGGGGAAAGAAACTCTTCTGCACTATTAGTGGAAGTGAAAAGTAGTACAGCCAAACAGAAATCAGTATGGAGATTTCTCAAAAAACTAAAAATAGAGCTATCACTTCATCCACCTACACCACTCCTCAGTATATTCCCAAAAGAATTTAAGTCAGTGCACTATACAGGTAATTGCGTATGCATGTTTACCACAGCACTGTTCCCAATAGCCAAGTTATCCAATAAGCCTAGGTGCCCATCGACTAATGAATGGATAAGAAAATGTGGTACAGTATATACACACAATGGAGGTTTGGTTTTGTTTGGTTTTGGTTTTCTGAGACAGGGTCTCACCATGTAGCTCAGGCTGGCCTTGAACTCACTATGTAGCCCAGGCTGGCCTTGAACTTGTGGTAATCCTCCTGCCTCAGCCTCCTGAGTGCTAGGATTACAGGCATACACCACCACGCCTGGCACACTAAATACAGTATTATTCATCCATAAAGAACTAAATCACATCATTTGCAGAAAAATAGATGGACCTAGAGATTAGCATGGTAAGCAAAATAAGCCAGATTGAAAGACAAGTATCATATGTTTCTCTCATATGTGGAATCTGGGTAGGAGAAGGAATCATATGAAAATACAGGGGGAACTATTAGAGAAGAGGAAGCAGATCAGGAGAGGGGAGGGTATGTGAGGCTAACGGGGTGGAGGATATGGTCAAATCTGTTATCTGCTTATATGAAAGGGTCATGATGAAACCCATTCTTATGTATAAATTAGACGCACTGGTAAAAAGAAAATATTTCATATAATGAAACACTATATGGCAGTTTAAAGTATAAAGTAACTTTAAATATATCAAACTATAAATGTTATGTGTTGAGTGGAAAAAAAATTTTAAAAACAGTATGTGCCACCTCTTATCAGTTAAAATTTTTAAAACACACAGACTAGCCAGGGATTTAGCTCAGTGTTCCACTGCCTGCCTAGCAAGCACAAGGTCCCGAGTTTAATCCCCGGTACCAAAAAAAAAAAAAAAAAACAGAAAGAAATAAACTTTAATTTAAAAAAAACAAACAAACACAGACTATATTTTTTTTTTTCAGCCAGGATCTTGTTATGTAGTTCAGTTTGGCCTTGAACATACAATAGAGCCCAGGCTGGCCTTGAACTCATAGCAATTTTCCTGCCTCAGCCTCCCAAGTGCTAGGATTACTGGCATATGCGACCATGCCTGGCCAGACTATATATTATTTAAGAATATTTGAAAGCAAGAGCATAAAAACATGGGTCGGATGGAGAGAAGTCACCTTGAAGTGGAGATTACAAAATGAAAGAAGTTTTAGACAGAATGAACATTCACTTCATTTGTAATATTTTAGTTCTTGTATATAAAAATTAAACAAAAGAATACTAACAATTGACAATTCTAGGTAGTGTGTACTTAACACTTTAAAAATTATAATTCAAGTATTTTTATTTTCTGTATTTTTTCTCAAATTTTAAAAAATGTAAAAATATTTAACTGGGAAACAAATTTCAGAAATTAACTAAAAAATACAAATTACTTTACTTATCTAATAACCTCCAGAAGATGTCCCAAAATATCAGCGATCCATCCACTAGAAAAGACACCAAACTATGCCAGTTTTACTGGCTATGAAATGTTCCCGAAACAATATTCTACATCCTTCTACGAGAGCAGCATAAACATAATATAAAACAACTGGATTACTGGCATTCCAGGTTCAGCAGTGTCACAAAAGAAAACAGCATTTCCATAGCAGTTACATCCGTTTACATTCCCACTAAAAATCCAAGAGGGTTCCTTTCTCCCCTGCACCCTAGCGAACATTTGCCATGATTTGATTTCTTGATGAAAGTTATTCTTTTTGAGGTGAGAGGTAGTATGAGTGTTGTTTTAATTTATATCTCGTACAACTGAATATTACTATGGCATAAAGAAGGATAAACTTGAGTCACTTGTAGGAAAGTTGGATACACCTTGAGCCCATAAGGCTAAGTGCAATAAATCAGACACACGAGCTTAAATGACACACGGTTTCTCTTATATGAGAAACCCAAAACATAAATAAAGAGCAAAATAAAAGATAATAGGAAGTGAGAAGATAGCTTTTGTTTAAATGGGAAGTGGATCAACAGATGGAGGGGAGGGAAAGGGATGAAAAAAGGGTCAAGATGTGTTTCTTACATGTCCCAACTCCCCACAAGGAATGTAATTATGTAATGCAAACGTGTACTAATAAAAATTAAAACTGAAAAAAATTTAAAAAGGCATTATCTTGCTTACTATTTATAAAAAGAAAGCATACATACATACTTCAACATTAAAAAGGCAATTTTTGTAAAATACTACAGTAAAAGGCAAATAATTTTAAAAATCATAATGCTCAAAGTAAAACGTTCAGCTGATGTTTCAAAGCTGGTAACCAAAAAAAAGCAGGGCGTGGTGGCGCACGCCTGTAATCCGGCACTGAGGCCGAGGCAGGTGGATCTCCTCCAGTTCGAGGCCGGACTGGGCTGCATAGTGAGAGTTCAAGGCCAGGCTGAACTACATAGCGATACCCTATTTCACAACACACACACAAAAAACACCAAACTGGTAACACTTGGTAAGCATTACTTTAGAAAATTCTTGAAAAATAAAAATAGAATAAAATTTCCAAAGTTATTAGAATGAAGAAATATTCACCTCAAAAACAGCTGAGAATGCCCAACAGATTAATCCATAAGATAAAACTAATTTAAATGTTGAAAAGACAAAAGCAAGTGTCAAACATTGCGAATTGTATAACCGCCTACTTACAAATCCCAAGACCGTCGAAGAATTGACATTTAGAATTAAAACACCAGATGGCGGCCTGCCCCGCCCCCGCCCCTTGGCAAGCGAGTCTTCTTGGCGCATGCGCACAGGACGGCGAAAAGGAAGATGGCGGCCCGCAGCTTTCCTACGCCGCTGCATGGGCACGTGGGTCGTGGCGAGTTCAGCGATGTGTACGAGCCCGCGGAGGACACGTTCCTGCTGCTGGACGCACTGGAGGCGGCGGCGCCCGAGCTGGCGGGGTGCGAGGAGGGCGAGGGTCCCTGCGGGAGAGGGCTTTGGTGTCTCGGAGAGGCAGAGGGCCTGGGTGAGGACGGTCACCGCCTTCAGCCAGAGGAGGCGGGGTCGGCCCCCTTGCCGATGATTGACAGCACGGCGCCGCAAAGGAAGATTTTTCCCTTACTTCCTCGGACCTGTGTGCTGGGGATCCATCTCCTGGGCAGTGTTACTGTGAGCCCCGCCTCCTTACCGTGCTGTGATGTAGCTTTTCCTTTCAGCTGTTAATTTGGAGAATACCTGCCCGTGAGAGCTGCGATAGTATAATATGCATTGGGAAACGAGATATTCTGGAAACATTGCCTCTTTAATATTAAATCTGTAGGGAATATTAAAAATCACGTGGCATTATTTGATTTATTCTGCACTTGAAAAGCATCCTCTAGCGATGGAATGGCACTAAAATGAAAGGTTGTGAGATAATGGACCAATGGAGTATTTTTAAGCCCACTCAACATATTTTGTAGTAACAGCCCTTAGCCACATGTTGAGCACTGGAAATGTGGCTATTGCAACTAAGAAGCTGTTAATTGCAGTTAGCCTATACAATCCACCCTAGTCCCTTGAAGTACTTACCATGAATTTTAAACTAATCATAAAAAAATTACCTACATTGTAGTTTTTCAACGAATGGATTTTGGGTCGTTAGATTTATTTAATAAGACTTGAACTGGTTTTTCTCAGGATTAAATAGCTCTCGAGTTTCAAAGGTCTATATTGCATTCATTTATCCTTCATACTTAGTCATATTTTTCCACGTTTGAAATTCTCCAACTCTTAGACTAGTTTTCATCACAGAAGATGGAACTTTTGAATTTACAGGAATATAGTGTGGAACGGTACTGTTTTATACTGTCTTTTATTTTCAAGATATCCCAGAAGGATTTACAAGCACAAAATTACATTGCAACGTATGCTGTAAAAGGAACTGATTTTATTATAAGTGGTGGATATTTCCAGTCTTGGAACTTGTATTATTTATGAGACCATGATGTTTTCAAAGAAGCCACTTAGCAAGATTAGCAGATCTTACTATAGCTCGTTAAAGGTTTGTCAGATGTGTGGACTGGTTCCAATCTTAGAAAACACTGTAGTTTTTTGGGGATAGTTGTTGGAGGAGTTAAGTGCCAGAAAGTACCATAAATGCTATCAAAGGCAACCTTTGCAATAAGAATAATTGGTGCTTTTAATGCATGTATAAGATTGTAGGCATAGAAATACATTTAACTGAGGGCCGGGGATTTAGCTCAGTGGTTCCGTCGCTTGCCCAAGCGCAAGTACCCGAGTTCAAATCCTGGTACCAAAAAAAAAAGAAACACATTTAACTGAAAGATAAAACACAGTAGAGCAAAGATTTTATTCAATAGCATTTCAGATTTTAAACACTGTAAAATCAGGTACTGTTTCTCAGTCCAGCATATAGCTATACAAGGAATTTCTTTGCTGCTCTAAATCTATTAGAATAGAAGATATTTTTCTCCTGGGACACATCATTAGATTGACTTATCAAGGGCAAGTACTTAAAAATGACAGAAACTTTTCATGAATAAATTTTGTAATGATACAATATCATTTTAGGAAATACTGAGAAGCTCCTTGTGGGAAGGGATGATTTCCCTTATGTTAAGAGTTCCAGGGCCAGGGATTTAGCTCTGGTTCTGCCGCCTGCCTCGCAAGTGCAAGGTCCTGAGTTCGATCCCCGGTACCAAAAAAAACACAAAAACATAGTTTCATACATTTTAAGTAATGTGTTGAAATTGACAACCCCCTATTGTAACATACAACTATTTAATGGAGTTATAATATATTGGACACCCAAAATATTAGAAGTTTTTACTTATACAATATTAAGCACCAAGTTATTGTCAAAAATTAAAAATTTCTTTAAAAAATTAAAATTCCCTTTGTATTTCCCTATATTTGTGATGCTGGAGAACTGCATTATAACTACCATGAGAGTTATTTCCTATAAAGTATATTTTAATATTATTGTATTAACAGTTTATTTTGCTGGGTTTTTTTAGAGTGGAAATATGCCTTGAAGTAGGGTCGGGGTCTGGTGTGGTGTCCGTGTTTCTAGCTTCTATGATAGGTCCTCAGGCTTTGTACATGTAAGTAACACCTTGGTACTAGCTGCTTTGAAACTCTTCAGATTTGCTACTCAATATATTTTGACTTGAAATTTTTGTCCTAATATCATCATTACTTTGGGACTTGATGCAGAAGCTAGAATTTGTCAGTGCCACTTGCGTCCTCATTTACTACCCTTGCCAGCCAAAACAGTATTTTTAGTATTCATCAGGTTTAGTACTCATCACACCTTCCAGAATCAATGATCGGTACCAAGGGACCAGAGTATATAATAATTCATCTGGTTGTTCACTGAGATTTACTATGAATGATTGAACAAAATAATTGTTTTAAGTAGATGATATGTATCTGAAAGTGTAAAAAAGACTCAGACTGCAAATTACGCTTTCTTAAAAACTACAGTTTCACTGTCAAAACTGTTCCTTCATACCGTATAGTAGTAAAAGCAACATATTTTCAAGTCATTTCCAGATTTGAATTCGTTTTTAGGGCTATCAAAAAATGGAGAGTTACTTAAATTTCTTTATAGATAATTTGAGAAAAAAATTAAAAGTCACCAATAAATTTTTGCCACACACATAATCCAAGTATGTTACCTTTGGGTTTGTTTTTTTTTTTCATGTTTTTCATTTATGAGCATTTTCATATCAAGATTTTCTTTTAAATTTCATTTTTGGTGGTTTTGTAGTATTGTAGTTAAATAAATTCCTTCAGAAGTGTGCATGTACATATATTCTCTTGCTCAGTATAACTATCTTGTCACTATAGTAAATGTTTGTTCTCTTTTTCTTTCCCATTATTAAAATATTCTTCTTGCTGCTTCTGATCTGCAAAGAAATACTAACAGAACATTCCATGAATTATTCTGTAACAGGTTTGCGTCACGAACATAGGATACAGTTTTCTTCTTTTTTCTGCTTGTAGGTGCACTGATGTCAACCCAGAGGCCGCAGCTTGTACCCTGGAGACAGCGCACTGTAACAGGGTTCATATCCAGCCAGTCATTACTGACCTGGTGAGCTGTGAACCCTTGTCCCATGATATTCAAGTTCATGTACAAAGAAATTAGGAGTCAAGATGTAGGTCCAAGAAACTTTAGTAATTAACTTTTGATTCTTTAACAGTATACCTTATAGCTCAGTGGCACTGTACCTGCCTTGCAAGCGCAAGGTCCTGAGTTTGATTCCTGGTACCAAAAAAGAAAGAAAAAAGAAAGTAAGTTCTTCACTGATACAATCTCCAACAGAAGTCAAGGAGATGTGATCAGCAGACAGGGGGAAAGGGTCCTGGCCAGGTGAAAGCAACAGAGTGACACCTGTGGAACCATTGTTTTATTTTAAGAAGTTAGACATCATGCATTTTTAAGTTGTAGTTGTTAAATTACTTTAACAATATTAGTAAGACTTGGAAAAAAGTTTAATTTTGTGGGGTTTTTTAAAGTTACAAACATGAAATACCTTTTTATAAGCAAAACCAGTAATAACATAAGAAATATAAAAGTGCTTTCTGTACTTCTTGATCTGTACTATTTTTCCTACACATTTACAGATTATTTTGTAGCTCAGAAGGGAATTAAGCCAAAGACACAGAAAGTTATTTTCACAGTATTTAAGTTGTTATTGCTAATAAAAACTAGGGTATTGGCCGGGGATTTAGCTCAGTGGTTCCGACGCCTGCCTCAAGAGGGCAAGGTTCCGAGTTCGATCCCCGGTACCAAAAAAAACAAACTAGAGTATTGGATTATGTGATTTCTGTAACATGAAATAATTTTAAAAATTTTAACTCATTTTCTTAATATGGCCACAATTAGTATTTTTGTTTTGTTTTTGTTTTTGTTTTGGTACTGAGGATCAAACTCAGGACCTTGTGCTTGTAAGGCAGTCGAAGTGCCACTGACCTAAATCCCCGGCCCCACAATTAGAAAGTATTAAATACATGTTTTTGATAGAACAGTAAAACTTCAGAAAATAAATTCAAAATAAATTCTATTCTTAAAACAGATATAGAAACTGAGATGAAGTGTATTTTTGAAAGCCACATAGTTAATAAAATGATAAATCTAGAATTAAAGCCTAGATCTCTGAATCCAAATCTAGAAATCCCACAGCTGTTTAGGACATGACTGGTGGCTGACCACGGGAGTAGTTACAGTTCACCACAATTATAGTCAGTTTTTGCTCATTTAACAGAAAGCATGCCTGGTTACTCCAAAACTGGCAGCAGTAACTATAACACAGTAACATTGTTTGTTTGTATTGCATTTATTCTTAGAGTCATTTTTATTTCCAGAAAGTAATAGTGATTTTTCCTTTACAGTAGTAAGTGGATCCCCTTTTACATTTAATTTATTTAACAAAATGGTACATTTAAATAACAATTTCCAATAAATTGTAGAAAACTGCAGATATGGGAAAAATTACGAGAATGTTAATAGAATAACTAATGTTATTGATTTACATATTATTACCTTACCATATTGCCTTACAGTACTTAATATTCTACCTCAAGCCACACAGAATTCATGGATAAAAGTCAATACCATGTGATAATTGAAGAAAATGGTCTGGGGGGTGACAGAGTGAAGCCACTTTTCACTATGCTTATGAAGGCACAGAATGACAAAATCGAACATGATTTTGTAAACAGTTATTTGATTGAGTCAGAGAGTAATTTAATTGCTTTATATGTACTTTCTTTAAAAAAAAAACTTTTCTTGCTCTTCTATAGAAAGTTGTACCCAGTTTCAAGTTTTTCAAAATGCCAAACATTGTTTTCTTTGTCTCTAAACCAGTATATTCAACGGTTTCTTTCTTTAATATTTAATTCTTTAAGCCAACACAATTGAAGAAACAGAAAGCAAAAAAATCCATCTTCTGATGTTTTCCATCCTTCAGAGAACATTTCTCTTGGTTAGAGGAAGTAAATATTTTAGTTAGTGGATATAGCTATACGTTTTTGTCCAAACCTGTGTGAAATACATGCCACAGAGTGAAAGCTTGCCTCCTCCTATTTCATCTTCTAACAAAGAACCCAGAGTGTACACATACGTGCTGTTGAAGAGCAGAGGCTTTGCTGAGCATTTATTTATTCTGATAAGTAGTTTAATTACCTTAATTTTAGTTAAATGCATATAATCTTCATCTGAATGAAATTGAAAGAATACTGTATGTCTATTCTGTGTATAGGTACAGCCCTCTAAGACTTTGTTTCTGAAAACATAGTATTTATTTTTTCAAGTACTGGGATCAAACCCAAGCCCTAATGCATGATGAATAAGCACTGTACCACTGAGCTAGATCCCCAGCCCAGTAGAGTATAACTAAAGATTTATTTATTAATTATTTAAATCAGAGTCCAGCTTAAGCCTCTTACTGTTATTTAATATGTTTAGGTCAAAGGCTTGCTACCAAGATTGAAGGAAAAAGTTGATCTTCTGGTATTTAATCCCCCCTATGTAGTGACTCCACCTGAAGAGGTAAGGCATACAACAAAATTAATTATTAATATTTTTAGCTATTTTGTTTCTAAAATAAAATTAACTTCATCATATGACATCAATCAATTGCTGCCAACACAAACTGCTCTGATTTTATCCTGATTGTCAGTAATCAGATACTGTTAGTGGTAAACATAGGAAAGGAACCTAAAGCTAATGGAAATACAAACTGTGATTTATATGTGCCCTTAAAATTCTCACCTAAATCAGGTATTACCAGAAAGTGGAAGATGAGATCAATTCTCATTTTAGTTAGGGAAAATAAATTACAGAAATATGTGATTTTTTAAATCTTAATGCTGAAGCAGTAAATCACGTTAACCTTTTCCCAGGAAGGTCAAGGCAGACAAAGTTTGATAATGGACAAAGACTAGCACTAGCTAGTCCTCTTATTTTTGTGCTGATTTCGTTCTTTGATGATTGTCTGCCAATGGTGATAATCATTACACTCACCTCTACACCAAGATGAAACACATCCATTTGGCTGTTACTATTACTGGTGCAATTAGGCAACAGAAAACCCATTGCTATACTGACATATGAATTTGAATGAGAAGGAAGGATGATATTGTCACAGGGTGAATAACAAGGTGCTTTCTAAAAGAATTCCACAGATGGGGTAATTTATAAATAAAAGAAATGTATTCCTCATAGTTCTGGAGACAAGGAAGTCCAATATCAAAGTGCCAGCATCTGGTGAGGGCCTTCTTGCTGTGTTATAATATGGTGGAGGGCATCACATACCAAGAGTGAGAGAGCATTCATAAACATAGATCTCCCTCTTCTGGTAAAGCCACTAATCCCACGATGGTACTCCACTCTTATGCCCTCACCTAACCCCATTTTCCTCCCAAATGCCCATCTCAACATACCATTAACATACAAGTTTGGGAAGAGAGTTTCCAACATAAGAACTTCAGAAAGCTACATTTAAACCAAGCATGAGGGAAATGCAACTTTAAACTCTTTAGGAAAGCACTATGAAAATATCAAGGATGATGAAAATGTTGCAATCGAATAATCTCAGTCTTTGAGACCTAATTTAAGAAAGATCAACAATAGAATAAAAGATGAAATTTATAAAACTGTTTATCACATCTTTACTTATGATGGCACGTAATGTGAACCTGTATGTATAAGTGAAGAGCGACAGTTAAATAAATCTTGGTCTGTCTGATTTGCAAACTGCTGGGTAGACAGTGAATGAAGAGGCAGTAGTTCGAGGAATGTGGTCTGAATGAGCGCCCTTTCTCCTGTGTTCTTAGCACTATGCTATATGCATCTCCTGGGCCTTCCACACAGGTAGGACACACAGGTGACTGAGCATGAGCAGTGCCTTGGGGTTTTCAGTCCCATTAGCGAGAACTGGTATCAGGGTTATCAGGAGCTGAACAATTAGCTAAAGATTAGGATCAAAATACAGCACAAGAACGATGTTCTGGAGCTTACAAACATTTTATAGAGTACAACTTAAGGAAATGAATTAGAAGAGCATGTGGTCACTGTCAAGACCCAGATCAGTGGTTTGGAAACCAACTGAAAGAAGTGTTTAGGTATATAGAGCATGAAGGTAAACCAGAGGAAATCATGAAGGTAAAAGATAAAGAGATTAGATCCAGGAGACATAGTACACAAATAACAGGAACTTGAGCTTATAAAAAGTTGTGGCTGTACTCGCTGTGCAGCTGGAAACATGCAATGAGCTGGTACTGCTTTGTGCATGTGTAAAAAAATGGGGAGTGGACACAGTAGTTGACCCAAGTAGCAGGCCAACAGAAGGCCACTAAACAGGCCTGCACCTTTCTGAAGATGGCAGCCACCCTTCCGTAGCCTGTAAGAGTTTGGTTGGTGCCACGTGATCTTCCTGGAGGAAGCACATACACACCTGAGCATCTCTGGGGAGGCTGCTGCCAGACGATGTTTCTGGAGGGTCATCTCTAGTGTAAACAGGTAAATGTGGCCAAGCATCCCTGGAGGATTATATCACAGAAGAGTTCTAATCCATATTTGGGGCGAGTGATAAGAGAAGCATGGCAAAGGCAAGCCCTGGGCCATCTTATTTGTTGAATCCTCCAGAGAATGGGTTCCTCCAAAGTGAGGGGATAAACAAAGGAAAAGGAAGGCGTATGTCCCAGAAGAGGGAGTTCAACCCAGGACAAAAACAGGGAGTGCCAGGAAAGGAAAGTCCCCAGGACTAAAGTTTCGATTAAAAAAAGGGGGGAGGGCCGGGGATTTAGGTCAGTGGTGCCACTGCCTGTCCCGCAAGTGTAAGGTCCTGAGTTCGATCCCCAGTACCAAAAAAAAAAGGGGGGGGGGGACTGGTAAGTTTCTTAGTATGACTAAGATTGTGGAAAATTGTAGTGAGAGAAATGGATGATAGATGTAGGAATAGAATTAGGTTCAAAGAAAATTAATCAGAGGGCCAGGGCTTTAGCTCACTGGCCCTGCACCTGCCTTGCAAGGTCAAGTCCTGAGTTTGATCCCTGGGAGAAGGAAAGGAAGGAAGGAAGGGAGGGAGGGAGGGAAGAGAGAGAGAGAGAGAAAGAGAAAGAATTAGACACAGTGAACACCAACAACAGCTAAATAAAATATGATACATTTCACTATAAAATACTATATAGCCATTAAAAAGAATCAATTAGAATTATACTAGAGAAGATGAGATTTCTGTAAGATACCGGTTACATGAGAAAAACAAGATGCAGGTAAGAATATAGACTATATCTTTGTAAAACATGGTCAAAAAAGAAAAACTTGTCTCTATAGAAGATGGTGAGGCTGGGGATTTAGCTCAGTGGTTTCATCGCCTGCTGCACAAGTGCAAGGACCCGAGTTCAATCCCCGGTACAAAGAAAAAAAGAAGATGGTGGATACAGATAAGGAAAACATCCAGCTTTTTAAAAAGCAGATATATAAACATTTTCCTTCTTTGTAAAATTATGTGTGCATATGATTATAGATATAAAAGAAAATGGGGAAATATTTGCCCTATTAAGTGAATGAAAGCAGAAGGTATGATTACATATAAATAGTTAAACTAAAATATGGACAAAAGGCATAGAAGGAAATAGAAAATAGTTACATCAAAGTTGAATTGATTTTTTACTTATTTCTTTGAAATATTCTCAAATTTTGAATATAATATATAATGGTAATAATCTAAAGATTTGTAATACTACGTAAATTCATGGAGTTTGATTCTTGAGTTAGATATTTAGAAGGAAAATGTTTGAATGTACCTTTATATATTAAATGGGTTCCTTAAAGAGGTATTTATGTTTCCTACTTCAAGAGACCTAGAAAGTCAGATGCATTAGGACATTTTGAAATTTTGTTACTGTATAGATTTCTTCTAATACAAGCTTCTAATTCTTCTATGGTAATATAGAAGTACCCATGTCTCTCAATTTAAGCATTTTATTAATAGTAACAACTATTATTAAGTTCTTAGTATGTGCAGTGTTTTCAAAGCTTTATACTTTCTAACAGTTAATAAAGGTTTTTTAATAATTTTTTTAATTGTAGAGATTGAACTATTATTTTTCTAATTATATAGATAAGGGAAGAAACTAATTCATAAAGACCATTACTGATTTGCCCAAGATCCCAGAAACTAGGAAATTGTGGAGCTTCAATTCAACCTTACTGCCAGTAGTAAAGTACCAAATATATACTTGTTTGGTGATGCTGTCTGTCAACAAGATCCTCTTCGATCTAAATGAAACTTGAGCCAAAAAGAAACTGTCTTTGTAATTGGTCACAGGTGGGAAGCCATGGAATAGAAGCAGCTTGGGCTGGTGGCAGAAACGGTCGAGAAGTCATGGACAGGTTCTTTCCACTAGCCTCAGATCTACTTTCCCCAAGAGGACTATTCTATTTAGTTACCATAAAAGAAAATAACCCAGGTAACAGACCAGCTTATTATTTAACCATTTACTTTGCTGAAAACAAAAGTTAATGTAGAAGACTGTAAGTGATAAAGTAATGTGGGATATTTCTGAACTTAACTAATACAGAAATGCATATTGAAAAAGGAGAGAGATTTTTTTTTTTTTTGGTACCAGGGATCCAACTCAGGTCCTTGTGCTTGCAAGGCAGGCAGTGGAACCACTGAGCTAAATCCCCGGCCCAGGAGAGATATTTTTAAGAGGTAAATTTTTTTTTTAATTTTAAAAGTATTATCTTCTTCAGCCAGGTGTGGTGGTGTATGTCTGTAATCCCGGCACTCAGGAGGCTGAGGCAGGAGGATCACTGCAAGTTTGAGGCCAGCCTGGGCTACATAGTGAGTTCAAGGCCAGCCGGAACTACATAGCGAGACCCTGTCTCAAAAAACTAAAAAATAAAAAAAATTTTAAAGTAAAAATATCTTCATTTTTGGAGTACAGTTTTTCCATTCATAAAGTAATATTCAAATACAAAGTCTATGATTTCTTCTAACACTTCACCCTCAATATTGTGAATTTTTTCTCTACTCATGCCCTTGACAACTCTGCCAAACACTCTTTAGCTCACCTGAAAACTCTCTTATTATATAGATGTTTGTGTCTTGGTTTTCAGATTACTTTATAACTTGACCATAAACTAGTTTCTCTTTTTGTGTATACTTGGAATTTGATTTTTTCTTTGTTTTTTTTTTTTTTTGGTTTTTTGAGACAGGGTCTTGCTATGCAGTTCAGGCTGGCCTTATACTCACTATATAGCCCAGGCTGGCCTCAAACTCACAGCGATCCTCCTGCCTCTGCCTCCCGAGTGCTCAGATTACAGGTGTGCAGCACCACACCCAGGGGAATTTGATTTTTTCTGTCCTCAGCCCCCCAGATCTCATGATCATCATGATTGCTACTTTTCTTCTTTCTTTTTTTTGACTGCATTTTCTAGGTTAAGTCTTTTTAGTTTTATTTATGTATAAAAGGTTTTGCTTTTGTCACACAACCAGAAGAAATAACCTATTTCTCTCATTGGCTCTTGCTGGACAGTGTTACTGTTCACTTGCCCATACCTTCATTGACCTTTTACATCCAAAGGGAAGGATATGTAGCAAAGATTAGACCAAACAACTACCCAATTTGTCACTGGTGGTAATAAGTTTATTGAATGTTTCTGTTTGCCCCAGAGTAGGCTGCCATTCAAACCAGGACACTCAGTCTAACCAGGCCCTTAATCCTCAGGAATACCTTAAAAGTACAAAATGCTCCCATCTATCTGAAGTTCATGTTCACTTTAATAGACACTTACTTGATTTACATTGTTTTGTCAGACTAATTTATAAATTGTGTTTATCATCTTATTAAAATATTTAGTGATCTTACACATCAAATGATTTAATTAGATTTAACCTTTTTTAAAAATTCTCATTTAGAAGAAATTTTGAAAACATTGAAGACAAAAGGTCTACATGGGACCACTGCACTTTCCAGACAAGCAGGTCAAGAAATCCTGTCAGTCCTCAAGTTCACCAAGTGCTAATACACCAAGAGCTAGTGAAAGTGTGCCAAGAACTACTGGAGACTGAATGCATTTCTCAGTGAAAGAATTTTATGAGAATTTGTTGTAAGGAAAGAAATGGAAAGATGGTGCTTCCCTCTCAGGAAATGAGGCCCACAGAAATATTTGTACATGTGCATGTAAATATGTGTAATATATTTGTAATTTTAATTTTATATGTAAAGTTATATATGAAAAGATGTTCATTTCAGCATTAGTTCTAATAGCAAAACCAGGGAATCAACCTAAACATGTCAGGAAGCAGATTGGTTAAACAGATTATCTGTGTCTGTTTCACTGAATATACAGCCATTAAACATGAGTAAGGTCTATTTATACTGAAGCAGAAGGGGTCTGTGATATACCATTGATTGAGAAGAGCAAATTGCAGAAGTTTCATCCTGTATATATATTTTTTAAAAAACAATAGTGATGATGTGTTTGTATGTGTATATAAAAAGTAAACTCTCAAAAGATAAATAACAGGAATGAAGGAACTTTTTACTTTTTTATGGTGGCATTTGTAGTTGTACAGTGATAGTTGGAGAATGACCATGGATTATCAAGCTTAACCAAGTGGCTCCACAGATGTGGTTTCATTGAGCAAATTAGCACATCTCTTGGTGCCTGTTATGATCTGACAAATGCCTTTTTCTCCACACCTGTCCATAAAGGCCCAGCAATATACCTTCACTGTCCTACCTAGGTAACATCTATTCTACAGTCCTACATCATAATATAGTGTGCAGGGGTCCTGATCACTTTCTCAACTTACTGGTAAGCTATTTGCCTATAACAAGGTAGGAAATCTGATTAAATTCAGGGGCCTTTTACCTCAGTGAAATTAGTGGGGCATGTTGAGACATCTCTTCTAAGGTAAAGATAAATACCTGAAGAGGTTTTAAAAGTATTAACTGCTCCTACAACAAAGAGGGCACCTAGTAGACTCTGGGGTTTTAGAAGCAACAAGTGAATATTTGGATATGTTACTCTAGCTCACTTACCAAGTGACCCAAATACTTGGCTAGTTTTTTGAGTTGGACCCAGAGTAAGAAGAGGGTTTGCACTGGTCGAGACTGCTGTGCAAGCTCCTCAGCCACATATGCTTTGTGATCCAGCAGACTCTGATGCTTGAAGTATCAGTGGCAGCTAGGGGTGAGGGAGAGCCTTTGGCAGGCCTCTACAGGTGAGTTGCAGTTGCAGGCCTTTGGAATTTTGGAACAAGACCCTGCTCATGTCACAGATAGGTACTCTCATTTTAAGAGAGCTCTTGGCCTGCTACTAGGCTTTAGTTAATTCTCAGTGCCTAAGCATGAGTGACCGGTTTATCAAATGATCTGAGCTACCCATCATGAACTGGATAACATCAGACCTACCAAACAAAGCTGGTGTGGACAGAAATTCTCCATCAAAACAGAAGAAAAAAGGAAAAAAGAAAGAAATATCAAATGGAAATCATATTATACATGATTGGGCCTGAGCAAGCCCTGAAGGCAGAAGTTACATGAAGAAGTGACCCATCGGGCTGAGGGTGAGAGAGAAGGCCACACTCCAGGTTGAGACTCTGAAAATAACCCATTCCTGCCTCTGTTGCTAGCCTTGCACTGTGCAGTGAAGAAGTCTCAGTTGTGATTTTTCGAAATCTGGGTTTGGATTCTTGGAGCAGCTGAACTGCTGTTGCTCAGCACTCTATATCCCAGCGCTGGAGATTTGGAGGCTTCTGATCCTCAACAAATTCTTGCTGTCCTCATGGCTTCCAGCCAAAGGAGTCAATCCTGTAAGGGTTCAAGATCCTCACAGGATGCACGCTTCTCTCACATCCTGCAAACTGTGCTCCTAAATGCCAAGTTATGTAAGTTGGTGTCATTTCTGCTCCACAAGTATCAAAAGAAGGAGCAGGTGACCATGAAAGAAATGCTGCATGTTCTGCCCCGTGATTACTGTAACAACTTCCCTCTGAACTTTTGGGAACTCTGTGAGTCCATGTATCTGGGCTTTAGCGTGCAAATCAGGAAAGTGAATCACTCTGGCAATACATATGAGCTAGTCCTCATTTTGGGTCGTACATACAGTGGGATACTAGTTGGTGATGATGAAAGAATCATTCTCAAAATCAACATTATTATGTTCATCCTGTCTAATTTTCATAGAGGGCAACCGTATCAGTGAGGAGGACCTAAGTGAAAAAATGAAACGATGGGACATGTTAGCTCACTCTGAGCATATTCATTTTGAGGAAGCCTGGGAATTCATCACTGAGGATTTAGTACAGGAAGAGTACCTGATGTACCGGCAGATTCCTAACAGTGATCCTGCTCGCTATGAGTTCCTGTGGGGTCCAAGGGCCCACGCTGAAATCAGCAAGATGAAACTCCTAGTTCATATGACCCATCATCGTAATGGAACAGATCCCAAGTCCTACCCAGAACTATATGAAGAGGCTTTGGAAGCAGAACTAGGTATAGAGCCAGGGTTCCTGAGAAACAGGGAATGTTGCCCAAAGGTGTCTGTGAATTTGCTCTCCCCTGAGAAGAAATGAGGCCCATTTCAGTCTCTGTGGAGAGCAGGCAGTTTTCTAAGTAGTGAGGGCCAGGGGAGGGGTAAAGTAGCACGCATAGCATCTTGCTGTCTCTTCTGTTTGGGTTACTTGGAAATGGACAGGGGTTTTCTTTATGGTGTTTTGAGGTATTGGCCATTTTGGGGGGAGACTGAAGTAGCTTGCATATTTATTGGATGGTATTGATCTGAATTTTTAGTTTTGTGATGTTGATGTTTGCGTTTTCTGATGGGAATGTGATTTTGTGTGACACTGGTCACAAATGGAGTGCCTTTTCCATTCAAATGTAACAGTCTTTCCTGTTTTATCATACAAACAGAAAAACTATTCATTTATGATAAAATGGGAATGGAATAGGAATTTCCTTGAAAATTGTAAGTTTACATCAAGTTAGAGGGACCCTAGAAAAAGTGATAAGGATGAAAAATACTGGCTGCTTCTTATTTCTTTTCCCCTGTTGATCTATACTATTAAACTTAAATTTATTGCACACCTGAAAAAAAAAGAAGTGACCCATGTAGGAAGGGAGGAGAAAAAAAGTAAAAAGGATTAAGATGCAATGTGTACATGTACCAGCTCCCCTCAATGAATGTATTCATTATGTATCACAAATGTACTAATAAAAACAAATTTGAAATCTTGGAGAGAAAAAAAAGTCTTAAGAGACTTTGAAATTCTCAAAGACAGATATTATTAGATTTTCTCCTTCTTTTAATCCCTTAACAGCAGTGCATGGCACATGATAGATAATCATGAAACTTTTCTTGAATTATTGTCTTGTTGTAAAGTCTGTGCTTTTGTTAATTATTATACTTCTTTCTGTCCTCAAAAGTCCCTTTCTGTCCCCAGTCACTTTCCCACACTCTCCCTAACTGACCTGCACTGGTTCAAAAGACCACTATCAGATGGCCTCCTTGCAAGCTCCCCAAACAGTCCCTGCATTGCAAGGAAGGTCAGACCCCAGAAGCCTTGAGGATCTTGGTCCAGTGTTTTCCTCCTCCTTCCACTTGTACCAAGTCACCCAGACCCTCCAGCCTCCAGAGATCCTCTCTGCATCTCTGGTAGGGCACTGCTTTGCTCCTGCACTGCACAAGCAGCTGAGTCAGAATGAACATGAACTGCATGGCCAGAGCCAAATCTTACTCAGAATGGTGACCAGGACAGAGGAACTCAACAAAGTCACTGCCTCCCACTTAACAGAACGTACTCATGCTATAAGCCATTTTGTCAACTTCAGGAGATTTGTAGTCAGAACTCACAGGAACCAAAGGATAATGATGAAGCTTTTAACCAGTGACCATTTATCAACACAGTTTGCTAGATCCATTATTAGAGGTTCTCCAGTGCAGAGCCAGGGAAAATTATAGTTGTATTAAAGCAATAAAAAACTGAATTTTCTTAAAAAAAAAAAGTGGCCTCTACCTCTACTACACTCCCTTTACTTTCTCAGCCTACACCTATGGCCTCATGGAGAGTTCCTCATGCTCAGCTGACAGAGTACTAGGGTCTTGTTTACAGGTGATGTTGTAGCACTACAGCCCCTCTGTGGACACCCCTGAAGGGCAATAGTAAAGGGGAATCCTCCCAGTAGAGCTTGGAGCAGTGCACCTAGTTGTTCACTCTGGAAAGGAAATGGCCAGATATATAATTATATACCAATTCAGTGACTTGGAAGGGACACGACTGGAAATTTGGCAACAGATATTTGGAAAAGAGGTATGTGGATAAACATCGATAAATAGGCAAAGGAAATAATCACTAATGGGTGACCTCAGCAGAGGACTTTAATAAGTAGATAGGATGACCCATTGTGTGAATAGTGGCCAACATCTTTCCAAGCCACTCCTGACATCCCACTGGGCTCATGAAAAAAAAGTAGCCATGGTGACAGACTGAAGTTATGCACGGGCTCAGCAATATGGATTTCTACTTACTAGGCTGACATGGCTAACGCTACCTCTGAGTACCCAGTCTGACAGGAGCAAAAATCAACACAGAGCCACTGATACGGTAACATTCCCTGGAGTGGTCAGATAGTTACTTCGTGACTGAATACACTGCCCCACTTCCATAATGCAACGGACAGCAGAATTCTTGTCCCAAATACTTACTCTGATACATGTTTGCCTTCCCTTGCATGCAGTTGCTTCTGCCAAAACTACCATCCATGGATTTATATGCTTCATCCACAATCATGGTAATCTCACACAGCATTGTTTCTGATCATAGAGCTCACTTCACAGCAAAAGTGTGGCAGTAGACCCATGTTGATGATATTCACTGCTCTTACCATGTTTCCCATTATCCTGAAGCAGCTGGCTAGCTGGAACAGTGGAATAGCCTTTTCTTTTTCTTTTGGAATCAATTTATTGATAGGATTTGTTTTGTTTTGTTTAGACAGGGTCTCACTATGTAATTCAGGCTGGCCTTGAACTCGTGCCAATCCTCCTGCCTCAGCCTCTCAAGTGCTGGGATTACAAAATAGATACACCTTGAGACCATAATATTAAGTGCAACAGGTCCGGTTCTCGGGGACAGAGGCTTTCATTTGGGGAGTGGAATTGTGTCTTTTCCATTTTTGTTTCACAGTCGAATGTTGAGAGGGATTCTCCTGTTCCTTATTTTCCTTCGAGAAAACATCTTGACAACACTCAGCAGGCTCTCGTATCTTCCCCTTCCCAGTTTTTAAAGTATCAGTGCTCTTTCCTTGGTTTCTAATATTAAGAGCAGGGCATTGTTTGCTGTTTCATATGAAATATTGCAAATGCAAAGATCAACACCTTCAGGAAGGCACTGACAGCCATGTAGAGGAGCTTGGCCCCTTGGCCCTGGCTGTGTGGGCTGGTGACAGTTTCAGAGAGGGAGTACAAACCAGGACACCGATTCTCCTTGGTCACGGTGAGCAGGCTCACCTGCCACTGCTGGGACATAAACCCTGCCTTGGAATGGCCTTTGGAAGACAGCTTAGCATTAGCTAGGTGGCAGGGCCTTGAGAAGCTGGGCCAGCGTTCTCTAGTACACTTTACATGGTTTAAATCAGGATTCATCCTTATTTTGTTGTGAATGTTACTTTGTATACATGTGTTTTTCTTTCTTATTCCCTCATATTAGATACGTTTTATTTATAGCATAACATTTAAGTATCATTAACTTTACATCGTAATACTTAAAATTATAGGATATCGTAGGGAAGAATGAACACTCAAGGACTACTTCTGGAAAAGGGGTTACTGTGTTTTCAGTTGTAGGCAGGTTACTTCTGTCATGTTAGATAGAATTATGGCCTTATTGCTATTATTAGCGATCAAGCATGGTTTAAGGATATGTGTATTAATGACAAATTGACATGGGGTGGACCTGTGATGGTTAATTTTATATGTCAATTTCAGTAGGACACAGGGCAACAGATAGCTGTTTAAATAGTTGCTGGGTATGTAAAGGTGTTTACAAATGAGATTAGATATATAATACGTATTAGAATGTTACTATGGTTTGGATCTGAAATATCCCCCAAAGGCCATATATGAAGGTCCTCAACGATGGTGCTATTGGAAGGTGGCAGAAATCTTAGGAGGTGAGAACTAGCCGGAGAAAGTAGGTCATTGCTGACATGCCCATGAAGGGGACATTGGGAAGCTGCTACCGTGAAGTAAGCAGATTTCGCCACCATGTGCATCCCACTATGATCTTCTGCCTCACCACAGGCCCAAAAAGCAGTGGAGCCTACCAAGTATGGGCTAAACCTCAGAAGTTATGAGCCAAGATAAATCCTTCTTCTTTTTAAGTTGTTTATCTCAGGTATTTTGTCATAGCAATGCAAAGCTAACATAATGAATTTAAAAAGTTTAAATTTTGGGGTAATTATTAAACAAAGCATTTATAGTCTTACTGAAATTCCATCTAAAAGTTGAGAATTGTAGTACTTCTTTGTGTATTATTTTGTTTTGTATTTTAGTTCATGTTCTTATGGATCTATACTAATTAAAACTAGAATGACATTGCAATTGAAATAAATTTTATTCCTATTTTTCCATCTTATATGAAATCACTGAGAAAATTTTCATGTAAACAAGTAGATGAGAGTAGAGTTTTATAATGACTCATTTTGTTCCTCAGTGTCACTATATTCACTAAAATTTTTCTGAGTAATGATGGCAAAAGTAAAATAAATTTTAATGATTTACTGGCTGATAGACTGATTAGAACTTGACTGAAAGCAAAGAACTGAAAACCAGTGAGTTGCAAAACAAAGACTTGTTAGCCATTACTGGATTCTCTTTCTCAACATAGGTGTGATCAAAATAGGATATTTAAATTTTTAAAAATGTATTACAGTAAAAGATACATTACTATTAGTTCTCTCAATATATAATTGCTTATCATTCTTGCCACTTTCTGAAGCAATTCTAGAAGTCCTTTTTTTGTATCTTTAGTTGTGCTACTGTGGCTACTTTGATGTTCTAAATGAATTCAAAATACCTTTACCTTTTATGGCATTTTGACTTTGAAAAAGATCAAGAAGTCACATGGTGCCAGATCCAGTGAATAATGTTTTTACAAACCTGCCTTTCTGTTGGATGGTACTTGGCAGTATATTTTTTTATCATACTTCAAACACAGAAGAGAACTTCCAGAACTACTTCAGAAAGTGACCAGAACAATGGGATAAGTATTTGAAGCAAGGGGGAGCATTTTGAGAATTAATGGCAATGTGTCTTTTACTGTAATAAAATTTTATGAATTTAAACAACTGTATATTTTGATTCCACCACATATTTCAAATTCCCTTTCTATACTCCAAGGGTTTTGCTTTCCCCACCTTCAACACTGTAAAATTGAGTGGGTAAGTTATATCTTCCTTTTGAAAGAGAAGGACATATGTGTAAAAGCAGGTGGGAAAAGTGAACCAGTCTAAGAACAGTATATAAATGGGAAAACCACGTTTTGGAAAGAGGACATGGAAAGTAGAGAAAACAAAAACGTATTCACTTAAAATTCTCCATGCGAATACTTTTTTTGAAATGTCTTAAACTGCATGCAGTGCAGCATGCCTGTAATCCCAGCATTCAGCAGGCTGAGAGAGAGGAACCATGAGTTCAAGGCCAGCCTAGGCTACAGAGTGAGACCCTGTCTGAAAACAAAACTCAAAACAACAAAACAACCCCTGAAAAGTCTTGCTGGGTTACCACTGTACTAAACTCTATTTTCAAGAGAAAGGCACAGTAAATATTATGTCTAGGATTTAAGAGTAAATGTAGTATCAACTAGTGAATGAATTAATATATAGCCACTATGCATACTGGCTAAAGATTGATCTAGGTAATTGATTTCCTCCAATGAAAGTAGACTATGGGGCTTCTGATTTTGGCTAGAAGACTTTTATCAGGCTAACTACTTAAGTCAAAAATTAGATTTAGTTATATACACAGAAACACAGATGGGGCTAAATCAAGAAGTTACCAAAGCAGGAAGAATTTGAAGAACTAAGACTATGCCCAAAAGGTAATGGCTTGGACAATGAAGTGGAAGTCACAATTGGACTAAGAGAAGCTACAAGACAGAAGAAACTTAGGTCCCTGGTGATAACAGAGCTCTTACAGCAAGCCCAAACTGATTATATTTCGACCTCATGAATAAGACAGAAGTGAATTTCTTGTTTAAACTATATTATGTTTTTATTTCATTCAGACCCAAACCTAATACTGAGTTCCCAAAAGTATTTCCCAAAACTAAAGAACATCCTTCTGAAAGTAGATTTCAGCCTAGTATTCATAGTATACAAAAGGATCTCTTACAACAAAATGGGACTTAAAAATGAACAAAGGACTTTACAAATATTTCTCAAAAGAAAATATAAAAGTGAAACAATGCTTAACATACTAGTCATTAAGGAAATTCAAATCAAAGGCAGAGTGAGATACCACTTCATACTCACTAGGATGACTATAATTTTTTTAAATGCACAATAACAAGTACCATCAAGGATGTGAAGAAATTGGAACCCTCATACACTGCTGAGTGGGAATATATATTGTAGTTGCTATGGAAAACTGTTTGGTATCTTCAAAAAGTTAATCACAGAGTTACCAGCCATTGCATTCCTATCTACATAGTCAAAAGAACTGAAAACAGGTAATAATACCTGGAACAGTACATGAATACACTTATTTACAATAGTGAGAAAGCGAAAACAATCCAAAACTCTATAATGAACAGGTAAGCAAATTGTGGTATATACCTCCAATGGAATTCAGCCTTCAAAGAAGAAAATACACTATTTGGATGAACCTCAAAAACATTCTGTTAAATGAAAGAAGTCACACACAAAAGGCCACTTGTTATATGATCCTAATTACATGAAATATCCAGCATCTGTAGAGATAGAACGCAGAATGGTGGTTACAGTGACTGTGTAATGCACTAAGCACTGTGAAGTTATCCACTTTAAAGTGGTTAATTTTGTTATGTGAACTTTAGTTCCTATTTTTTAAAAAATGTGTATGCAAAACAAAAAATCCATAACTACATAACCAACAAAGCCTATTATGAATAAAATAAGCTTCTGTTCCACAGTCCTAATTAAGAAACAAAATTTTAAAAAATAACGGTGACACAGTTAGAACCATGTTTAAACCTATTTGATCAACAATAATCTACCCTAGTTTAATCTTAACTATCGGTGAGATTTGCTTTGATAATCTTTCTTTTGGAAGTCAATTCAATGACAGCCTCAGTTTGGATGGTCAACAATTTAACAATGAATCTGTCATAAACTGACTTCTGAAACCCAGCTGGACATGTCTTGGCAGAAGAACCATGTTTATAACCTTGATATCAATTCACCTGTCACCAACACATCACAAAAACAATCTCTGACTCAAAAACTCCATGCAAATTTAGCAGTTGGACTTACTCAAAATGACTGAACCTAAAGCAGCATATCTCTCCTTTCTTTAAGTAATATTTTTGTTTCAGGTATCAAGCAACAATCTTGGTCTATTCCTCAGATAATTTTCACATAGAGATTATTCAGAAGTCCTCTCGACAGTATCCTCTTGACAGTGGACCACTGGACTAACAGGAGAGGTCCCCAGCCTCCTGAGCCCCAAGCTCCAACACTGTTCAGATCTGCTGCCAGGTGAGTTTCCAAAAAACACAATCTAAGCTTTTGCTTTCCTTAAGCTCTTACTGCTGAATTTATTTAGACTTCTGAACAAACAGATCTTCACATAAGGCTGTTCACTGCAAGTAGGCCCAAATAAAATCTTAAGGAAAATCAGACCTTTGGATTAAGAAACAAACCATTTGGTAGTTTTTGCCATTATCCAACCCAGTCTCCCACCGCTTAGTTTGCCTTCACTTTTTTGTTTGCCTATTTGTACAAATTTGTACGTGTCCTTGTTTTGTCCCTTATTGTCCCATGTCTGTTGAATGTATAAAACAGCTTCCTAGGGATGGAGGCACAGGCTAAGTCTCCAAATCAATATAGGTCATCCCTAAAGAATGTTCTATAAGACCGATGACAATTGGCTACTAAATTTTTGGTCAAACACAGCTTTGTGTCTGTCTTCTCTCGAAAGCTTCATAAAAGTACTCCTCAAGGCCTCTCAATTCATGGCATTCACTATTGTTTAGCCTGTATTTCAGTGTCATCACTTGTTGGGATCATTGATCACATGGCTCTTTCCTATCTCCTGCTTGGCTGGGAAACCTCAATTATCATCAACACACACAGACACTGGGTCATATAGTAGTCTGCTCCTTGTTTGTCACTGATTTATCTATGTCAAAGCTACAACCTCTGCCTGGTGGAACTTTCACTATAATCCTAACTACTATGCTTATCTTGATAAGTAAAATTTTACTGAAAATGACTCAGAATTACAATAACTTCTGATATATCAAAGTTAATATTGCAAAGGCTCTCAAGAAAAACTAGGGGTACCTCCTAATCAAGTAATCCTTTCCTCAAGGTTTTCTTTAGGAAAGAACAATCACACCATATATCCCTACTATAGATCCCTTCTACAGGTCTACATGCTATAGACTAGATTATTTTCATCTGTGTAAGTTTATTCTGAACCCTGATTTAGAAGCAAGTTGAAGACTATAACCAAAGGCTTTTTTTTTTTTTTTTTGGTACTGGGGATTGAACTCGGGTCCTTGCACTTTCAAGGCAGGCAGCGGAACCACTGAGCTAAATCCCTGGCCCTCCAAAGGCTTTTTTAATCTTGAAAGCAAATTTACTGCAGAATTCAGTATTTTGTTTAGTTGGTTTTTTTTTTTTGGTACCGGGGATCGAACTCGGGACCTTATGCTTGAGAAGCAGGTGGCGGAACCACTGAGCTAAATCCCCGGCCCTAGAATTCAATATTTTGGTAGGTACTTACGTGTCCTGGATGACCATTTCTGCACCAATTAGTTTATTATTAGCTCCCTTAAAAAATGGTTAAAAGTAAAAAACAACCACCAACCTAGGAGATAGTTTAAATAATCTAGATCCTCATAATTCAAGTCATGGTCTTGAAAATGTTCAAATGGAAAGGGGAACAAGGGAGGAGGGAGGGAGAAAGGAAGGAAGGGACAAGAAAAAAGTGAAAATAAAAGAAAAATGGAATCAAAGCTTTTTTACATAGGGAGGGGAGGGGGGAAATGGAAAAAAGAGGCAGGATGTATCATGTACAGGTGCAAATTCCCTACGATGAGTGTTAGCATTATGTATACCTAAAATGTACCAATAAATGTTTTGCTATTAAAAAAAGAAAGAAAGAAATAGTCTTGAAAGTGTAAGCAAAGAGAAAATGTACTACATTGCATTTCCCTGAGGGACACATTGAACAAAACTTATCAAAACTGTAAACAAAACTAAAACAGTGAACAATCAGCAGTCTCCAAAAACAGACCAAGGAAAACTTCCAAACAGTATTTCTGGGATATCCCAAGATCTATCATAAAGGTAGTTCCTTTTTAAAATGGATTCAGAATCACCATCTTAGAAAATGTCCAACATATCAATGAACAGTTCAAACTTCCGACACTCATGAAAAAATAACTTATTCAGAATAAAAATAAGAGCAAAAGTTCTCTGTACAATAACAATGGGAAGCTGTGATTAATGACACCCACAAGCAGATGGCCCATAGGAAGAAAGAATGTCCTATTTTGTCTAAAAAACATGATAACTATCCAAAATCTCTCTCGTAATGGCACTTTGGGAGACATTAGCACTTAATAATGCTCTGACATTCTTAAACTACACAGAACGGTCTACAAATATAGAGGGACAACAAAATATAGGTGTCAATTTATCCAATTCCACTGCCATAGAACATACTAAAACTACAAAAATAGCAGACACTTCTAAGCATCTATAACTGTTATTTTGGAAACATTATTGACATTACTTTTTAAAGCTCTGGAAAATTCTACATAGGACCAAAGTACAGTATAGCTAATCCAGATACACCTACACTATGTGAGAGTCAAAAGATAACCAAAGAATGAGCTATGATCCCCAAATTCCTACAAACAAGGCTCTCTCCAGTCATACCTTGAAGTATTTGGAGCTGAGCTTTAAAGTGCAAACTGACTCTTCCTAGATTACCATATATCTTTCTTTTTGTATGTACATACTTGTATAAGGTTAGCTCTGTACTAACCAGTACTATAGCCAATGCCCATATGTGCTTGAGACTTGAAATGTGACAGTGTAACCGATGAATTACATTTAAAATTTTTATTTAATTTATATTTATTTAAATGTTAAATGGACATGATCCAGTTATTGGAAAATTTTAAATATCCTTTTTAGACTTGGGTATGAGTTCACTTTTTCAACTGTACATTTTCTGAAATCTAAATATAGATCAAATAACCAATGAAAATTTCATATCCAAATTGAAGTATGCTATAAATTCAAAATACACACTAGATTCCAAAAACTTAATATAAAAAACATGTAAAATATATAGTTAATACTTTTTATATTGATTACATGTTGAAATGATATTTTGGATATACTGAGTTAAATAGTGTGTTAAAATTAATTTTACCTATTTCTTCTTATATATTTAATGTCCCTACTAAAGAAATTTAAAAATAACACATGTGGCTCATATATTTCTATTAAGGTCCTTGGTTAGTCCATGTTCTAAGGCAACAGTTCTCAGCCACAGCCAATTCTACCCAAAGGCCACTTGGCAGTTCCTGAACATTGGTAGTTGTGACAACTGAGGTGGAATAATAGTCATAGTAAATAGGAACCAGAGATTCTGTAAAACATCCTACAGTGCACATAACAGTCCCCAGAACAGCATCATCAGCTAAAAATGTCAATAATACTGAGAGTAAGACACTGCTGTAATCATTCCCCAACAGCATGGCACACATCAAAATTCCACTGTCTCTTAAGAGTCCATCCTTTGACCCCATAGAGTATCTTCCCTTGCATCAGAGAAGCTGCAGCCTAGCCTACTTAGTTGTAGCATCTACGAGTCTTGTACTAAGTTCACCTTTAAACCTTAGTATCTCCCACAGCTAACATCACAGTGATGAAAGGCTAAAAGCTTTCCCCTCAAGATCAGGAAGAAGACAAGGATGGCTGCTTTTACCACTTCTGTTCAACACTGGAGGTTTTGGCCAGGATGGTTTGGTAAGACTGAAATAAAAGGCATCTAGATTGAAAAACCCAAAGTAAGCCAGAAGTGGTGGCACACATCTATAAATCCTAGCACTCGGGAGGCTGTGGTAGGCAGACTGCTGCAAATTCAAGGCCAGCTTGGACTACACAGTGAGTTTTGTCTCAAAAGCTTTAGAGAAAGAAAAACTAAGATAACAAACCCTTTTATAGAGAAAATAAATACTAAGAAATCCATTAAGAAAACTACCAGAATAAGGGAGCTCAACAAAATTACAAGATATAAGATGAACAGACAAAAACAAATTAAATGGTACCACATACAACATCATTTTCTTATTTCCTACACCTACTAATATAACCCTCTGAAATCCAAAAATGTTTCTACCATTAGGTGGTAAAAGAGAAACCCATGGTTGTAGTTCTAGCCTGACAATGGTCCATGCCTAGAACAGACTTTGAATACTACTATGCAAATGCTCACAGATTTTGCTTGTTAATGGATCTTAAACAGTGAAAAGAGGCTCACCTACTGTCATCCCAGGCTCCTAGAGCAGAGAAGCTCAGCCAGTCCCAGCACCTGAAAGGAAGCTCCCCCACTGCCATCCCAGGCTCTTGGGCAGAGAAGCTGAGCCGGTCCCAGCACCTGGAAGGAAGCTCCCTGCCTCCATCCCAGGCTCCTAGGGCAGTGAAGCTGAGCCTGTCCCAGCACCCAGAAGGAAGCTCCCCTGCCACCATCACAAGCTCCTAGGGCACAGAAGCTAAGCCGGTCCCAGCACCAGGAAGGAAGCTCCCCTGCTGCCATCCCAAGCTCCTAGGGCAGAGAAGGTGAGCCGCATGGGTGCCAGAAGCACAACCCCCCCATGGAAATGAGAAGACACGTAAATAAACCTCAAAAACAGACTGCTAGATCATCTACAGCAACCCCAAAGGGAAACGAGATGCAACACTCTTGATACTCAACCACCTGGACTCTCTGAACTGGCAAAAGAGGATCTGGGAAAAATGAAATCAGAAATAATTACTCAGATAACAGCAAAGATTTTGCTCATGGTACAAGACATGATTAATAAATCTAGAGAGGACACAGATAAAAAATTAGAGGACCTGAGGAACATGATGGAATCCCAACATAGGAAACAAATGGAA